TTTAGGTCAGCTGATTAAACTCAGGTGACCTATTGCTATCCGTTTTCGTCCGTCGTCGTTTGTCGTTCGTCTGTGCGTACACATTTGCACATTTTCAGTTTCTTCTCTGAACCCGCTGAACCAATTTCAACCAATTTTGGCATACAGCATCTATTGGTGAAGGGAAACAAAAATTATGAATTTCATGGTCCATGCATGCCCCCCCCCCCTGGGGCCTGAGGGGTGGGGCCAAAACCACTAAATAAATGCTATCTTTAAAAATCTTCTTATTTGTTCCTGGACATCAAGCAGTCAAACTGTTGGTATGATTGTTATCAGCATTGAGTCCTCTACCCAAATTGTGAAATTCATGGCCCCATGGTCAGGGGTTCTAATACTAGGGCGGGGCTAAATAGATTATACTGAAAAATTATTATTATTTTTTTTTTTGAAATTCTTCTGTTCTGTTCCTGGGCATTAAATAACCTAAACAAGGTCATAGTTGAGTTGAATATGACTGCCTCTTCCAAAATTGTGAATTTGACCCCAGGGTCAGGGCTATATAGATTATATAATGAAAATGAATTATTTCTTTGACAATCTTCTTTTCTGCGCCTTGGTATTAAACCTATGAACTATGTACATAGTTATGAGGAGGAAGGATGCCTCTTTGAGATTTGTGAATGTCAGGGCCCCTTGGTCAGGGCTTCTTGTGTTAGGGTGGGGCTGTAATGTTTATATAATGAAAATGCATGAATTCTTAGAAAATATTTTCCTTTGCTCCTGTATATTATTCCAATGATCTAAGTACATATTTCTGATGAAGAAAGTTGCCTCTTCCAAAATGGTTAATTTCCGGGCCCCTGGGTCAGAGGTATTTGGAGGGGCAAAGGTACATAGTCTGAATATAAATTTAAAGTTTGAAATCTGCACTTTGATATTAATCAACAATTTATGATGAAATAAATTCATGATAAAATTTCCAACATTTTTTTAATATGCTGCCCCAGGGTGAGTGGTTCCTGTGGGGTGGGGTGCACAAGTGGTTACACAGTGGAAATGTATTTTCTCTTTGTTGCTCTGATCTGCCTTTGGGTATTGAGTAACCAAAGTAAGCATGCTAAGTGTATAGTTATGATAAGCAATGGTGCCTCTTTCAAAATTGTGAATTTCATTGCCTCTAATTTAAAACACGAATCAAATTCAATTGTTTGAAAGTTGTTACAGGATACTCAGGTGACCTATAAGGCCCGTGGGCCTCTAGTTTTTATTTATTTCAGCATTAGTCAAAAGGTAAACTGTTCCTAGTAGTTTCCTTTTTTCAGTATTAGTCAGATTATAAACAAGCGGTTCCTTGTTCGTCAGCGTGTATTTGTCAGAATATGAAATTTATCAATGGATTTCTTTGTTTCTCAGCAGTTTCTTTGTTCAATTCTGTATTTGCAAGAATATGAACTTTATCATGCAGTTTCTTTTAGTCAAATGTAAATTGTACCCAATGGTTTCTTTGTTCTTCCACGGTTTCCTTAGTTTATGCCAGTTTATTGACTGTTCCCTCTGCTTTTTAATTTTTTTTTATATATAAGTTGGAATATGAATTGCACCTAGTTGTTTCTTAATTTATTTCAGTATTTTTCAAATTATAAAACGTATATACAGAAGTTTTGTTTTTGTTCTTCTTCATTTTATTGTTTATTTCAGTTTTGTTCAGAAAATGAATTGTACCAAGCGATCTCTCTGCTTGCTTTGTTCATTTCATTTCCTTCAAAACATAAACTGAACGCAGCGATTTCTTTATTTATTTCAGTATTAGTCAAAATGTAAACTGTACCATGCGGTTCTTCTGTTCATTTCAGTATTCTGTCAGAATCTGCACTGTACCTTGCATTTCTTCGTTGATTTCAGTATTTGAATTCACACTGTACTCATTGCTTTCCATGTTCATTAAGTATTACTCAGAATATAAACAACGAAAAAAGCTTCTATGACTCTTAAGTAAACGAACAATTGGGAAATAGACGCAAACCTTATTGAAGAACAGCAAACAGTTACAAATGGAACACTGCACGAATGCGAGACATTCCTGGCCTCTTTGTCATTTGGAAAAGCACTCAATTGTATCAAAGAATAAGTTCTAATCACCGGATTCTTGCTAAACAACGGATACATGAAATGGTACATTTTGCGATGATATGCAAATATGAAATCTCTATACATGTAATATTAAGAAATTAAAGACTTTCTCTGATGTTCAGATATTTTCCTTTTTGTCACTACTCTTTAACATCTGTGAAGTTTTAATCTGTTCATTTTAAAGGATAATATTGAATAATTTTGGTTGAAAAAATGAAATTGTTGCGGCAAAACTTACTTATATTACTCATATAAATATATATTTAGCTCTTATTTTCATGATTTAAAAAGTTCTTATGATATGCCCTTCAAAACCGAAAAATATAAGAAACGAGAAAAGTACAGTTACATGTACATGTTTTATTTGCCGTTAGTAAAACATAAGGACAAAGTTAGAGCTAGCATCCTTTGCTTCACTCTTAGACTTAACATTGACTGAACTGATGCCATACCGGGTCACATCGACAATACCGGTATATTGATGCTATAAGAAGTTTTTTCTGGTGGACTCTGAACCAAGAAAAGAATGTATAACACTAATCTCCTAAACGCACCTTTTTAATGGATTGAGTTGTACTCCGATAAGCAAGCCTTTATGACTAAAGACGAGGAGGGTGTACCACACTTTGTACTTTCGTTAGACACTTCCTTAATTTTCAAATTAACGTACGTTATGCAAAGGCCTTGAAAGTTTGTTCACTGATGGCAAGTCAATAATTGTATAGAGAATGGCTTTAATCATATTAAACAAGGAAAAGTGCGGCATTCGACATGCATGTGTTGAAGTCAGTTAACTAAATCAAAGACTGACCTTTGGTTTTAACAAAAGTAGGCCACGGATTAAGAGTTAGACAATTTGACTTATCTTTTACTTAGACATGTCTGTGTGATAAGACTTCACCAACAGATTGCGAAACACTCTCACGAGTATCAGCATTCCGATACGTACAAAGAACAGGTAGCGGATGGGGGAGAAAAAATAGACAGAACTTGGCTTCCAAGATCTGCAGAGCACTTCGACACGTGGAAAAAAGGAACCTGAAAATTCATTCGGAACCAATCTGTCAATAGAGAGAAAATATAAGAATGAAAAGAACCTAACATTGTCTTTCTTCACCACTGTTGTAGATGGAACTGTATGGTTCCTGCTAGGAGTTACAGACCCCATGATTCACAAAGGCATACCACTTTTCTTACGTTTAATTAAAGTAATACTCCGCTCCATTACAAACTCGTATATTTTATCAGGAAATCACAACGCCCCCTGTGGGTGATAATACAAGCGTTATGTCCTCCAATTTTCTTCCTTTGTTGTGAGTTATTTTCTATTGAAGTCGAACTACCAATGTGCAAAAAAAATGCAACCAAATTTACTTTAGTTATCACCGATTATGATTGACAATGACAATATTATGTATTTTTATCTATTCTTGCGTCAGAGGCTTAATTTACTTATCCATAACCTTTCTCTCCTTGTTCGCCACAAATACACGTTGTTTGATTTTCTGTTAAATTATTTTTTTATTTTTCTAGGGTTGTTGCAATCAACACGTATAAAACAAGAGGGCATAAGGAACATGCATGTATCGAAAACGCACAACTTTGTTCTGACTATCTTTCAACTTTCCGTCTATAAAATGTTTTACTGAAAAGTTACAGAATTTTTCTTTGACGATGGGTTAATCTCTGTAACTTACTTTATATTCACAAAGAAATTAACAAATTAAAACAGGGGATTTTTTTCTGGAGCAGTATTTTAATGGAGGAAGGATAATTATGTTATGTCGATGTATGATCAAGTTCCCATGAAAGACATACAGGCGCATTCAAGGACAATCCAGGTGATTTCCTATCTATTAAAAAATACAGGAAAATTCCTACGGGATATTTAATAACGTATTTTACTCGATATCTCGATCCTTCCCTCATATGAAAAAAATTCAGAGACAAAAATATTTACTCAGAAAATTAAGAGGGTTTCTTAATTTGTAAAACTAGCTCCTACTCAAAAGTATCTGCTTCCAAGCGATTTGGTTATAACTCAAGGTTTCAATAAAATTAACTATATCCCCTTCGAATTCACTCTGAAAGTTTCAAAAAGCCAACCAGTTCAAGACCATGCACATGTATAGATTAATCGAAAGGATTTTACTGGTGGAACAAAACACTCAAACACACACACAGAGTAGGGATGACCCGTCGGAGTATTTTTTATTCATGAAATATTTTTATTGTATTTCATATCAAACCTTTTACAATTTTTTCTCTTAGATTTCAAAATAAATAAACTCTGAAATTTTTTAGATAAACTTTTGATCGTGTCAATACTCTAAAATTCAAAATTTGTATTGTGAAATTATGTTTCAATTAAACAGATTCAGAGTTATTACTTTAAACATCTAAGAAAAAATTTTACCTAAGCGATAAAAGAGCCTTTTTATCCTTTAAACATTTCCCATAAATGTATGACAACTTCTTTACAGGTGGAAAAAGAGTTGATTGATTAATGATATCGACACTGTACAGTGAGCACATGGGAAACTTTCATTATGGAAAAAGACTATTTTTCTTCCTGAACAGGTGTTCATTTCTTTAAATGCCTGTCTTTCCATTTACTTTCACATAAACATCTATCAGCTGTTTAATTCATCAATTAAAATATTATTGACTGTACACTCAATAGCAATTTCTCTGTGATAAGGAACGAAACATTCATATTAGTAAAGCAGTTTTTAAGTATCTTTGTGACATTTCTAGTGACCCTCTGATAAATTAAGCAATCAAAATATTCATTTTACACTCGTTCAACAAGAAGAAGTGTCACTTAGATGTTCACTCGAATAATTTCACTTCGTTTAATAATTATATAAAAAGAAAAAAAAACATGATAAGATTTTGATAATCTTTTATTGTCAACAACATATCTGAATGTATCAATATTAAATATAAAACAAATAGAAACATGACATCGATCGGGACCTCATTTTTAATTTTGCATAAAATGCCTATAAAAAGCGTGATTATACTTAGCTGAGCATGCGCAGAACCAAGTTACTTAAAGTAATGAAATAAAATTACAATGAAACACTTCCATTCTTTAGTCGAAATTCAAGGAAGCAAGCTTGTCGTGTAACAATGAAGAGTTTGTGTCCCACATTTATCTATTAATCAGAAAAAAAAATCATTCATTTAACAAGCTAGAGATTTCAAGGGAGAAATATAAAAAGACAGAATACTGTTTTTGTAATAAATATATAACAAAACATAACAAATACTGAAAAAAAGTCTCTCCATTACAGGCTCCTGTAGGATTTCTTGTCTTGAAACTAAATGGGGTGCATTATAGTCACATGGAGACTACCTAGGTCTTTGTCCGGGACATTTTATCATCAATCCCCTAATAATCTTCGGGCCAAATGTTAACATTCTTCGAATATCAGGATAAAGATTTCTGATAAAAATATCGTCTTTCTGAAACACATCGTTTGTTAACTGTTGAAAGATTCAGAAAGATTCCGAAAGTGCCAAATTCTAAATTCATCATATTCTTATCTTATTACACCAAACATGATTTCGTGTCAAAGATCATGCACATATTTACAAGACTTTAATAAAGATAACTAGTTCAACACCGGCAGCATCTTTCACTTAAAAATGAGATTATTATTACTGAACATTTACCCCTTTTGTCTACCTGTGGTGATAATTCATGAAAAAAAATCTGAACAAATATAGCACCAAAAATAATAGATTGACGTTCATAAAGTACATTTATCACTGCACTAACAAACTCCCATCCATTCACCCAATGTCAAAATAAAGTTTCAAAGCACTTTGTAAGTATTGTTGTACATGTGATGCTTATAGTAAGATCCTTCAGAATGCAAGTCGGCATTAGTGATTCCACTAAATGCCGAAAAATATCACATTTATATACAGAACATCACAGCCACTTTGAAGTCTCCTATTCCACATCTATGAATTTATAAATTAAATGAAATCAAATAAATAAACAAGCTCACATACAATCGCTCACCATATAGTTGTCATGTAAACATTTCTTTCTTCAAATTTTAAACAATCTGATAAACAATAATGTTACGTAATCTTTTCATTTGCTATATTTGAGACTGATTACTGATTTTTATCTTTTAGATAATAGTCTGAGCACATGTTTTCATAAAATGTTTAAAAATGTTAAAGTGAGAAAGTAGCATTGTCAAACGTTAATAATAATCTCTCACACAATGCCAGTATCAACAGATCATATTTTCAGCAATGTAACAAGATGCTACATAAAAAATCCAGTATTCACTTTTAAACAACGCCACACCTTTAAAACGAAGACCTTTTTCTATCAGCCAAGTATTGACATTCAAACACATCCTTCTTGCACACGTCATACAAAACACTTAAATTCTTCTCAACACGTCTTTTCAGTTTTTATATGTAAACTGTCATATCGTAAGAAGAACTTTGAATTTCCATTTCGTTTAACAACAACATCAATTGTGTAATTGCTATTTGCTTTAAGTCCAGTTATAGTTTCACGTAACAACTGCTGGTTGTGATTCTTAAATCGTTTACAAAACACTAATTCACTGGCTTTGTCAATTTCATTGGAACACTGGTCATGTTTTGGTCGACGATTAAGCTTTCCCTCTGATAATTCAGTCTTATATACACAGAACTTCTGTCTTTGTGTTTCACCTAACCAGGCAATTGTCACATTTTCACACGTAGCATTGCTTGTCGTCACTCTCGTGTCTTTTGGTAACCTTGGAAACCTATATTTATTTCTCTTAGTACTTAAAGTGAACCGTACGTCCCCTCCTACTTTTTTGGAACCTTTAATTCTAACTGTGTAAGTACCTTTCTCAAGGTCTTTGAGAATAAATTCCTTATGACTCTTTATTCTCCTACTAAACACTTTCTTCTTTTTATTCCGTATTTGAAATCTGATTTTCCCGCCACACACGTGAACACCTAGCAACACTTCCTTGGCGGGTTTGTTCACTTTGAATTCCATTGTCAACCGTTGTTTAGGTTTTGTAAATTTGTGCTCATTAATTTTACCATTTTTTATTCGTACTCCTTGACGCTTTCGAGATTTAGTCCTCACCACTAAACTTTTAAATGCACTGGCTTTGCCGGTTTGTTTATTATATACAAATACATTCACAAAGTACTTTCTTCCTGGTCGAGCTCCGTTAAATGTGTATTTCGTTTTCACTCCTAATACTTTGTAAGTTATTTCATTCTTTTTGGCCGCTTTGATCGGGTTGGCTTTTTTGAGGAACTCGCGCTCTCGTTGGATTTCATCTGAAAAATTAAAATTTGGCGACGGAAGGGGAGGCCGTTGGTCACCTTTGTAGTGAGACATTAGTGAACAAAATGTGTCAAAAGAATGTTTCCTGTTCACTGCTATATGATACTCGATAATATTGTCGAATGGCGTCTCCTCTGGACTAGATTGCCATTCAACAGTAAAACTTTTCCTACTGTGTTTCTTAACTTTGACTGTGTTGTCTTTTGGCAGTTTAGGATAATTTTTTATTTGAAATCTATTAGAACCATAAAGATTAACGTATGTATCACTCTCGAGGGGTCTAATGTTTATGGTATATAGTCCCGGCAAGCCCTTGTTGTATTTGAAGCTATGGAATTCTCTTCCTGTATATTTGTGAAGAACAGTTGGCTTTTGTGACGATGATGGTGAATCTGCAAGTGTAAGAAGTGACACATTTAGAAAGCTGAAGAAATATAAAAACACGAATATCTTGCAAAAGATCAAGATTTCCCACGTAGACTTAATTTGAAAAGTCAAAATTAATATGGAGCAAAAAGAAAGATGAATCCGTATCTTTTAAAAAGTAAGAGTTATATAAATAAGAAACAATTTTGATGTGTATCTGAATCTGAAAAAAGGATTGAAAATCTGAGAATTGTATCCCATGCTGACGTTAAAATTTTATTCAGAGAACTAGAGGTGACCACTGGTCCTTCTAGAGTTAAAAGCCTGTGTAATCGTTATATTGTAAACATTGTTTAAAACGCAAATGGGGCAAGTACCTATGTATACAATATAGGAACGAAAGCATTATGTGTAGCGTAAATCACACTTAGAGAAAGCCACGACTTTCCACCTGATGGGGGGTCAAAGTGGTTCTAGCATAAATATTATTCTTGTAAAGAAAGCGTATTTATTATATAAGTAAAGAAAATACACGACAGACTAAATAGTTATTACTGAATCCGTAATGAGTACATTTGGACCCATTGTAAACTAGAAAAAAGCAAATCTAAACAATAACAAGTTCACGTCTGGCTTCCAACACGGCTTGTGCAGACAACTCGGTCACGAAGCAAAAGGGTTTCTTGAAAGACGCAAATTAAAAGATGATCCTCATAATTTTCACATATGAAAATAATAATATATGCTTGGCAAACTCTCCACAATCATAACAGTGTACAATACGTGAAGAGTAAAAAGAGATTAACGATGATTTATAGCTCAACAAAGACGTAAAGAAACGGGAAGAAAAATCAAGTTCAAAACGCAAACGAGTGCAGTGGTTAAAACATTTAAGGTGAAGGTCGCTTTGCTTCAAGAAGAAAGTTTTAATGAAAATGAAAGTCATAAGGTGCTGCAGCAGACCGCCCTCCATCGTTTTATATCGTTAACACGACTACAGAGGGATGATTGTCGGTTAATAACATCAATGCCAAACTTATTTCCTTAAACGAGTGACGTCACATCTTCATAATTAGTGATGTAATAAACATGATAAAGTCTCTCAAAAGAAATATAACATTTGAACTTGTTGAAGATTATCTCATTTATGGAATCCAAAACAGATTTGTTTCACCTTCATGGATATGTTGCAAATGTGTGGTTGTTTCAATGTTCACTGTCTTTTTGCTTTTAAAAAGCGAGCTTCAGAACTAATTGAGAATTAAGATTGAGGTTGTTGCATATTGTCCTACCTGAGGATTCGCTGCTGAACTCTGATGCACTCTTGTGAGTCAGTGTCCACTCAACGGAGGAGGCACAAGGAATAACCGATAGAAAAAATGGCCTCTGATCTTCGCCCTGGACGAAAAATATTCTGAAAATAAAATTGTTTACTATTTGGTTAAATATGAAGTATGTCATTATCACAACATACAATACACAAAATAGTAGTTGGGTAAAGTCTATACTCCCATATTGTTTGAAACCTTTCCCCAGTTCCATAAGATCCAAACAAAAATGATTAATTTCTTTCACCTAATACAAAATGTTTCCTGCTAAATCACATGGTTGTTTTGTTTTCAACAATGGACACCACTTGCTTCAACATGCAGAAACTCATGGTCATAAAATATATCAAAGTGGAAATACGGGTTTAAAAATTTGTCTGTGAATAATATATTTATAGAAATATTTGATAAAGTTTGATAATTGGGTGCCATTATAGCAAAACCATTTATTTCAGATCTATAGAAGTTGAAATTTATTTTTATTTTTATTTTTATATATATAATCCTTATGGTAGCGACAAAAGGGCGGGTCGGAAATTAGAGAAAGATTTAGATTTTCCTGCGAAATAAAAGAAAATAAAATCGCGCAACTCTCTAACCATTAAACACTTGAGAGTACGACCTATCTTGTATCTACAGTCGTTTTTAACTAGCCGAACATTTCTTGGCATTGGGCTCCTAGTAATTGAAGTGTTTTTACGATACACTAAAAGCATTAGAAATTTGAACTCGTTTATTTGTAAGTTCACGATGTGCACTTTCATGGTGCAACGTATTCAATCATTAAGTTTTATACGTTAAAATTCATATATAGATAATCAAGGTTATTTAAGGCCGTTCATTTGCGAACACAATAAGGTCCAGTTATGTTTGGTTAGTTAAGTCGATGAAGTGCACTCTCTGCTTGTCAAGAAGACTAAATAAAAAGCTAAATAAAGCCACCTTTTAATGCGAAAAATAAGCTGTAAATTTCTTATATGAATTTTTAATAAAATCTTTAAAATATGTACAATAAGTATGTTTAACTTTAAGGCGAGTTTAAATGACAAATTAAGAAAAGTTAGGCTGCAGTTCGCAAGAGATGTGGATTAAATTGAAAGCACGCCTCGTATGGGACTGTGAATATCGCCCTTTCCACATAAATTGTCGATACATAGAGGCTGGGATTAAGTGTCATTCAAATTCCATAAAAAACTTTTAACGACTTCAATTATTACAAAATACAAGCAAAAAACTCATTAAAATTCGGGAACAATGGATTGGTGTAAACGTTTCATAGATTAGAGTCATTCCATTGAAGCCTAGACTAAACAAGTGGTTTGCCTTTTTTCCGACTGATGATAAATAAAACCGGTAATAACTGTTCTCTCAAAGAAAATGCTCCAGAAATAATAACAATACGTTGTCTCCCGGACTACATCTTACTCTTAAATTGACATAAATATTTGATTTATTTATTTTCAAAGATTATATTTAGAAATTTTCTGAAGTACTCGGTGACGTCTCCCCAAAGTACACATGACTGAGGGGTATTCTGCCCAACAAAGAGTATATCTATGTATATAGGAAAGGATCTAAATATACAGGCAATGATTCAATAATTAATTATCTAAAGGTTAAATGATCATGACAGGTATTTAATGAATTCCAACAGATCACGTCAAACATTTTTTCTTAATCTGTCATCTTTGTTTAATCTTTATCTCATACCCATCTTAATTGTAAAATGAACACATAACAGTACACAACGTAATGTTATGCACATATAGCATATAGAAGTGCAACATCTCCAGGCAAAAACTACCCAGGAATATTCATAAGTTTCCTATACATCGATGTATATCCGATCTACTGAGTTTTTGACTGGAAATGCGTCACTAAATATCGCGTATCCATGCAAAATTTATTTAATTACAATATAAGATTTCCTCCATACTTCAGATTTCCTAATTTGGGGGTTTCGTTTTATATGAAGATCAAATTCTTACTTCCAAGTTTTACCGGGTGATGAAGTTTCTATCAGACATCTTTATTTATTTCTTTTTACCAATAACGCACTTCAGTAGACCCTTTCATTACGACGTCAAATTTTAATTAAATTTTATTCAAAAATTAAAAAAAAAATTCTTTCCAACAGATGTTTAAAAGAAAATGAGACAATTTTGCATGCTTTTTGAACAAAGTAATTTTGGGTAATTTGAGAATGTCTAATGTACGTAAGAGTATAACGTTATTAAAGCAAAAATGTACCCCAAGCCCTTAAATCTAACAATAATTTCATATCGTCGTGGAATTCGGGTACAACGTTTTCGATTTCTATTACAAATTGTAACCATAACAGAATCCTGAAATATGAGCATGCAATTAGCAAAATTATGGGAAATAGACGAATTCTTCATGAAATAAAGTACCTTACTTGGTCAACCAGTACAGGCGATTGAAAATGAAGGCAATGGTTATATTAGATGATAATAACAAAACCCGAGAATGTGACAGGCTTTATATTGCTGGTACTTGGAATATTTAAGTACATTTTCTTATCTTTTAAAAAAAAAAGATTTTGAAATGAAAATGTTCCTATAATGTTTTGCCTTTAAACTTCAATTGTTGGTCTTATCATATACAAGGCAAAAACGACTTCCCAAAATTCATACGCTTGAATATTGAAATGGTGGTGTAAAGAAGCGGCCATGCAAAGAGCCCAGATTTTCCCAGCCACCTATTCCCACTGCAGATACCGGGGACAAAGCTGTGTAAGTCTCAAGCATATACCCACACCACGCGAGTTTACCAACCACTACCGTCAAGTTATCGTAATTGGTCTTTTGCCCAAGAAAACATTTGACTAATACTCTATCGTAACGAGAACGCATGATGTCAAGGTTATAGTATATTGTATCAGCTTCCCATGTCTGCAACATCAACTTACTTCTTGTTTTAAATAAGGGCCAACATTCACACCAAACCGTCTTATTTATTTCAATACCAAGCACAGAGCAACAAACAGTCTCCGATAACACTATTTCACCTTCATCTTCATACAATAAAATTTGGTCGACTGTATTTTGAAGAGTTAAGACTTTGTTTACTGCGGACAATTCTATTCGCTTTCTGTGGCGATAACCATTTATCTGTTATATTGTGCTTTCTCTTTGAAGATGTACCAACCACTGCGAAACATTTTACCGAGGTTTATATTTCAGAGGCATACGTTTTGTTTTAGAGCGCGGATATTTCGTTAATCATCGAAATACTTAGTTACCACATTAAGTATAATCTTCCTATTTTCACTCACTCGTTTTCGTTAAACAGACGTGGATTATATAACATTAAGTTAACATTAAGTCATGCTTTTTGGGGGAACAATTTCTTTGAAATAACTATTGATGATATTTTGATTGCTAACTAAACAAGGATTTCAGGAAGCTTTTTAGAATTGTTTCTTTTAAAAGAAGAATTCAATTTCAGAAGTCACAATTTAAAGATTATCTGTACAACATTCCATCTGGAATTCATGTCTGCTAGCATTCAACTTGTCAATCTGTAACAAGGCTGTATGTTTCACTTTTTCTTTTATTTTGGTGAATTCTCAAGTAAGAAAATGTCTGAGAAAGCATAAATCCCAACAAGTTCTCCAGAAGCTTTCGAGAAGCATTAGAGAGAATCAAGTATTGACCTAGCAAGATATGTAACAACTTATGCCCTTTACTTTGTCTTTATATAATAAAGATTAGAGCTGTATAGACCATGATTTCAGAATTTGAAACATTTACATGAATATATGGCTTTCGGTCAAATTTATGCTAACATACGTGCCATAATCCTTTTAATTCAGGAAAAAATGCTTACTCATTGGAAAGCTAGACTAGAGGCTATGTGGGTAATACATTGGTATGTTTGAAAGGAATTGAAAATAAATGTTTAATGAAACGGTTAAGAATAAATAAATCAAAATTATCTTCTACAAATGGTCGTATTACTTGCACAATGCTACAATAAGCAATGGTTTTCAAACAAAACACTTCAGTAAGGTTAAGCTGTAAATTTCAGTCGGGTTGATATGAAACTTTTACTTACAAAATATTGTTTCATCCTTGCGTTCCAAAAGAAAAAAAAACAAACATGCACGCAAATGTTTTATTAAATGAAGCGCATTAATTTACGTGGCTAACCAGTATAGTTTACATACACAAAAAGCCGAAAAATTGTTTTTTTAAGCCACCATGGAAGAAAAAGCAAAACTCCAAGTATAATAAGGTTTCATGAAAAAAAGCAGAGATGTGAATAAAGCAACTACTCTCTACCAGCAAAGGGCTAATAAAACAGACTTTAAAATTTACCTAAACGACTGTCAGTATTTCCAACCTTACATTTAATGATCTAAGGATATACTTACAACCTGAAATTAAATATAGACATCATTACTGGCGGACAAACGGGAATAACGCCAGCAGGTTTTAAAATGATTAATTTTAGAGAACATGCTATTTTTTGGATGTTTTATTCGCTATAATTAACCAAATTAATTTCGACAAGAATGCAACGTGCCTTTGTTATTTTATTATTCAAACTCAGACTTTTGTTTTACAAAGTTGTTTTCTTAACATTTTTGCCCAAAATATAAAAGAACAAGCACTTCTAATTTGTAGCAAATAATACAAAATGTCGAGTGAAAGTGAATCAAAGGTGATACAAGTTTTACTCCTTTTAAATTTTTAATCTCATGAATAAAGCACATTTGGAGACAAGGATGAAACTAAAAATCATTAGAATTCCAACTTCCAAAATGATTAGATATCTAGTATTGCGGAGAGCAGCAAAGGGCATAAGTTGGTATCTGAGCGCTTTGTGAGGGAACTTACTTTTCTGTTTTGTTGTGGAGAAGGTATGCTGTCACCTCCTTTTTCTCTGGGAGAATTTTGGAGTGATAAAAGTATCGGGTTTCTGTGTCTCCAAACTTAAACTCGTCCTCCGACTGCACACCCAGTGTTGTATACAGAAGCAACAATATTATATATCTTGCCTTATCCAGCAACCGTGGCATGGTGGACCTATAACGACAACAACATCATCTTACTATTGAATAGATATTGTATAAGTCGAAAACTGCACATCATATTACTATTCAATAGATATGCATGTATTGTTTAAGACTTAAAAACTGTTGAATATATATTGTACAAATCTAAAAAAAATGTTGAATATTTATATATAAACCTCTGGTTGAATACATATTGCAAGTCAACAACAGCACAACTTCAATATTGTATACGTACATGTATAAAACAAAACAACTGTTGAACGAGAAATGTAAAACGCAAAATGACGAGTTGCATTTTCCATATGAGAAAAAATACATACGAGTATTTTTGAAGAAAATTAATTAAACAATTAAATATCGATAAATTCAACACTTCATTAAAATATAAAATGAAGTCAGTGAAGTTGGCTTTGTTTTTTAAGTTATCAACTTGAGATAATCTTACAGTATATTTTTTTAATTCATATCTTCTGCAATCTCAATGAATTCTCAAAAAGCGGTGTATGTTACATATTTCTTCACAGCATGCAATCTCCTCTTAAGTCTGCCGGTAGCAATTGAATGAACACCGCAGACGAGGCGGTAGTAATTAGTCAATTTGTGCAATGAAAGTTAAATGAATGACAATGCTCAAAGGTAAATGGAGCAGAGAATAAATACATATAATGGTCAATGATAATGTCTCGATAGATCTGTGTACAGTTTAGATATCGGAAAACAGGTGGTCCATTCAATATCAGTGTGCTGAAAAACTAATCATCTCAATATACAAGAACTGCCTCACTTCTGAGGAGAAAAACACGAACCTCGGGAGATCAGACTCTACCATCCACAGCTAGCTAGCTATGCAACTGCAAAAAATCAGGTCTTGCATTGTCTAGGCTATTGTTTTTGTGTCTTCACCTACGTCGCTTTTGTCTTAAGTCATAAAATTTAATAGTTGTAGGAACCATGCAATAAATAAACATTCACAAAGAAACAACCATTAGCCCCCTTCGTTACAAATGAATATGAATGAAGAAATTTATAATTTATTTAAGTGTCAGACACGTGAACCAGAAGTCATTGGTTTATACTCTATTGTCGCAAGGTCTTTTTTTATTCTGATTAATTATAACAGTGTAGGTAAGAGAAAAGAAGATATACCTTAGCCAGTTATTTCAGGTCATTGTTGCGTTCTCCGCAAATACATCACAATGTGGTCATTCAAAAATTTTATGCTATTAAAGCCTGAAAAATGGACTCCACTTCCAATGGCATTTTGAAAAAGCAAACTTCCAAGCAAGAACACATATTTCATATTGAACACAAATTCAAGAAAGTCGAACGAACTGTTTTTAAACATCCTGAATTAAAACGAAGTTGAGAGCTCTCGCATTATAATGGGATGCAAAAAAAAAAAAAAAAAATTTCGGCGATCGTATGAAACGATAAAGTTTGTCACTAATCTGAACTAATTTCTTGAAGTGGAGAAAGTCGGCAGTAATCCGCCGGTCGACATCGATTCACTGCTGCTTCAGCTTCATCGTCAAGAAAAAAGAACTTCACAGATACTCAGGTGGAACAAACGTCCAATTTTTTCACAGATTTGTCTTATCACAAATTGCTTTACTCGTGCAAGTAAAAAATTTAAGGAATCAATATCGTAATTCCTTGAAAAAAGAAGTTTATTTCGCTGATAAACGATACGACCTGATAAAACTAAAATCCGTGCTGGGAAGATTATACCTGATTCAGTGTTAAGATTTAATCCAATCGGAGAAAGGACATTTTCAAAAACAATTCTTTATGTCACAAAAGCACCACCTCCTTCCGAAAAGCACATGTTTTCAAACTCCAGTTGCTCTAAAGTTTTTATATCAATGCTAACAATAAGTTCTACTTTCGAATCCCTAGCTTTGTACAGAAAAAACCGAATTTCAGGTACCAATTTTATTATTCTTTCTTTAGTGTTAACTTATGCAATCTTTAGAAGTGTTTTACCCCAGGAAAGTAATTACTGAAAAGCTCATCAAAGATAAATAATTAATAACTTACAAATTACTATAAGGAGAAGTTTCCACATGGTTGGCGTTTCATGTTCTAGATCAAGCGAGGGAATAGCGCGTGAAAGCTCCCTCGTACAGCGCCTCTGTAAAGTACGAGGCGATTGGTTGGACAGAAAGTTAGTGGGCTGTGTACATACTACGTAGCATGCATAAATGAACAAAAATATAAATCTTTTAGCTCCTATTATTTCATTTTCATTTGCCTTCCAGTTGCTGGAGACATGCAATGAGCGATTTATAGTGTATCAGAAGTTTAAGAATCAAAGATGTTGCAAAAATGTTTTTTTTTATTTCACCGATTATTGAATTAAACAATTAAACTTTTATTTGGTTGGTTTTATTATTTTTATTGTTTATATTGATATAACAACTTTAAAAATGAAAGGACCAAACAGATGAAGGCATTATATAGTAAGGAGACCTGATACTATGTGTACATCAGTGTGCGTAAAATCATAAAGAACCAATCTCTTGCATTGTTTGATATCTTCATGGGTATAACTATTGTGTTCACCTGTTTCCAAGACGACTGGCCGACGCCAGATACGTCACGACGAGATATAAACAGTCGACTTAGCTGTCTGAGTATAATTAGGGTACAATAAATTGATATGCTACCACTGTTTTGACGCTTCAGATTTGTAATATACACTTGTAATAACACTATGGAGTACTTTTTCCTGACTTCGCGCCAAAAAGACCGTGTGACCTTAGGTGGTAAGGGGGAACTCTTGACCAATGGAGAAATCCGATCTCCTGACTGAATCTGATCTCCTGACTATCAACCTGTTAAACCTTTCATTGAAATGTATCTCTTTCTGAGGCCACATTAAGTTGTTTCCACTCCGTAACATCAATTGATGGGGTACATGACACCAGGGACGAAAGTAGGAAAGTGGGAACTGTGAGCATGTAGACCTACCCTCTTTTTAAATAAAGGATAAATAAATCTACAACTGGATTACTTATTAGTAAAAATACTGTTTGAATTATTTCCATGATAGATTCTCTCTTCGCTCTTTATAACATTAACATGTCTTTAAAATAAACGCATACTAAGAATAAGTCGTAAATCAACCAAACTCGTTGATTTAATGAAATGGGTAAGAGTTTTGTCAATGTTAATAACATTCTTGACAAGAAAACAAATTAATTATACCGTCAGCACATATAGGTTCATTGTTGTTAAATTAGTTTAATTCAAACAAACTTTTAGATGTATGGCATATTTGTTTATAACGATACTTTGGTGAAGACATTTCATGTAATATTCTGCACGATTAACACTTACGTAGAAGATAACGAACCCGATCACAATACGAATGCATTTTCTCAAGGTTAAGCGGCAATAGGACCTTCACAGTCGTTATTATCAGTGAGAATATTTCACATTTTTGTTAGGACAACTGAAACACGAACTTTGTCAAACCAAGATATGTCAAATTTTGCCTTTAGATATTATTTAACGTTATGTTGATTTTATCTTTTAAAAAGTTATTGTTTTTCCGCGTGACGTGAACAAGTGCAGTTTTTGTTTGTATACAAACCACATTAAAGAAAGTGTTTTAATGCCTGTCACAAAGCTCAACTGTTTAAAATGAAATAACTAATGACTCTTATTCAAGTTTTATTTTCTTAGACGCAAAATAAAATTTAGAGGTATTCACTTATAAAACGAGCGGAGACTAATAGTCGAAGTACTTGTTATAATGGTTGGCCATTGGAGAAAACAAGATTTATGGTCAATGCAATTGTTTTATTTTTTATCAGGAAAGTCAAGATAATTTTATTAAAATTTGGTTTTAACACTTTATATGTTAAAATCAGTTTATAATATTAACATAGAACATATATACTGTCTAGAAATGTCTACAGTGTGGATAGTAATATCTCCAAATGAAGATATAGTTTACATATCTTGAGTTTTAAATATTGCAGGCATCATATGACGAGTCCGCATGATTAATGGACACTCTGTCATATCTTTGCGTCATAAAATCTGTGCAAAACTTTGCACAAATTAAGGATGTGTCAGATATTTTGAAGTAATCTTCTGCGTCTGAAGTCTGAGATTGAATCATGGAGTTGTCTCATTAGTCTCCAAACCAATATCCATTTACAAGACGGATCCATTTACAAGACAGTCTAAGACCAAGTAATCGAAGGATTTCCCTTAGAATTAGATCAATTTATAAATAAATAATTCATGCATCATTTCTGTCTATGGTCCATAATCTGCCGTCACCCTCGAGGATTCTTCGCCGAATTTGTAGCAAGCAGCTAATGCACTATAGTCCAATTCAACACGTAAGTAAGATATAAAAAAACGCCAAATGAAAAAAAAAATCTGTTCCTATAGAATTCTCCTAAAAAGTTTTTTTTTTCTTCTCCGTGATTTTCTTATATAGGATTTCGCGGAGGCAACTGTTCAAATTTGTTGTCGTGACATAGTAAAATATTTTGGTCTCTAAAGTGTAACTGATATCTTGCATGCATGAAATTGACTTGGGCATTCTTATAACAAGTTCTGGTTTCATTCAAGCTAAAAATAAATCCTCACTTTTCATATTGTACCAGATAGTCGGATGATGATACGGGTAATTTTGGTCATGAATCACTTTCTTCAGCGTCGCGATGTCTCTTGTGCAATTCTTGTTGTTAGTTCAAGGCAGTGTGTCTACTCCCCCAAAGAAGCCAAAGCTGCTTGTGTTACACAATTTAGTGTTCAAGTCCTTTTTTTTTTTTTACATGATGTGGTGGTCCCAAATAGTGTAAATTTTGGATTTTTTTCCAATATCGACTCACTTTGGTTAGAATTGCCAGTTTGAGCTGTCTCTCTAAAGAATACTTTTTTTGTTGCTCCAATGATTTATGACTTATTGTAAATAAATAATTTTCTTTTTGATTTTTTCCGCAAAAATTAATTTATGGTACTTGCATGTCTCAAAGACATTTGCTTTATCGGTTATTTCTTTTCTCGGAACATCTGTGACATTTATAAGATTTTTTGACAGGAAAGTTGAGCGGGTAATTAGTCGATTATGATAACGTTTCCTTCTGGAAATGACAAGTTCCGTAACTTTTATAGATATCAATTACTTTTTCCGCATTAGCTTTATTTTTCAAACAAAATATACCAAGCCTTGTAGCTCATGTACTTTAAACATGAAAAAGTAGGTATTTAATTTACTCTTTATTTTTCAACACCCGCCAAAGAAAATATTTTCAATAAGAGATGCTTAAAATATCTTTTAAAAATTAGAGTGAAAATTGATGTATAATTTTTAAGAATGTCAGAAATTTCATTTTTGAAAAATGTTTATGATACATCAAGAAGAAACTTGAAGTGGGACAGATGATAAATGTATTTTTCATCATTTTTACGTGGAATGTGAACAAACTTCCACAGATAAACTTGCAAACTAAGCAGCCAAATTGGGAAAATGATTAAGGAATACCAGTCCACCTAGAAAATGATGTAATTATACAAAAAAGGTAGCAACCCCCTTAAACTAAAACCTATTTGATCTTCATCTTTTATTATATTTATGTCGTGTTTCATAGTTTTTGATACATTCAGTGATTTTGTAACTTTATTGGCAATTGTGTTCTTAACTGAACAAGAGGCCCAGGGACCACAGCGCTCACCTGAGCACATCGGGCTTGAATTTATCCCCCCCCCTTCCAGGCGTTCATCATTTGAACAAATTAGAATCTACACTATCCATATAAATATCACTAATCATAGCTTTGAAGTACTTGAAAAGAAGATTTTAAAAGGTTTCCCTATATATCCCTATGTAAAACTTGGGTCGGCCATTTTGGCCCCACCCTAGAACCGGGGGTCATGATTTGAACAAACTTGAATCTACACTACCTGAGGATGCTTCCACATGAGTTTCATCTTTCCTGGCCCAGTGGTTCTCGAGAAGAAGATTTTTAAAGATCTTTCTAATATATTCCTATGTAAAACAAGGGTCGGCCATTTTGGCCCCACCCTTGCCCCGGGGGTCATGATTTGAACAAACTTGAATCTACACTACCTGAGTATGATTCCACATGAGTTTCATCTTTCCTGGCCCAGTGGTTCTGGATAAGAAGATTTTTAAAGATTTTTCCTATATATTCCTATGTAAAACTTGGGTCGGCCATTTTGGCCCCACCCTTGCCCCGGGGGTCATGATATGAACAAACTTGAATCTACACTACCTGAGGATGATTTGAGTTTCATCTTTCCTGGCCCAGTGGTTCTGGAGAAGAAGATTTTTTAAAAATGCCATTAATTTTTAACAAATTCATGATTATCTCCCCTTGGAAAAGGGCGTGGCCCTTCATTTGAACAAACTTGAATCCCCTTCACCCAAGGATACTCTGTGCCAAGTTTGGTTGAAATTGGCCCAGTGGTTCTTGAGGAGAAGATGAAAATGTGAAAAGTTTACAACAACGATGACAACGACGACAACGACAACAACGACGACAACGACAGACGACGGACAAATTTTGATCAGAAAAGCTCACTTGAGCCTTCGGCTCAGGTGAGCTAAAAAAGCAGTCTTTGATATTGGTGAATATGAAAGAGAAAAGTTTTACATTTACAAGGCAGGGTTTGAGGTCAAGGTCATATTTTGAAATTGGGTTCTAGGAGGGAAGAGTTTTCTATTTCGGCAAACGCCAATTTGGTCTAAAAGGAAGATTGGTTATTATTTTAAACATCAAGTACATATATTAATGTGTATTAATCATGGAGAAAAAAATGCTTATGTAATCATCTAGGAAAGAGCTATTGAAATCATGTTCACATTTCTTGGTCACCATTTTCGGATTCGCATAAAGACGGTAACAAGTACTGACAGTTATCTTTTATTTCAAAGTAATTAATAATAATAGAGAGTATATTTTATTTTTTCAACTTTTTAAATTTTAAGGAAGTAACATTTTTTTCTTTATTCTAAAATAACATATTTTTACTGTTTATATAT